CAAGGGAACCTTGACCTTTACCTTTACCTGGCATTACATTGTACGTCACACGTAGCCTGGCCCGACACAGTGACATTTCTGTCAGATCTGGCCCTCATAACAAATAAGTCCGACGCCTCTGTCTGCTTCAAGGGTTGAAAAAGCTCTACCTGAAACCCTGGAGAGCTGCCGTCAGTCAAAATAGACAGTACTGAGATGAGTGGTCCGGTGAACGCCATTGCTGCCTTGGTCTGATTTTCCTCAGGCGGCCCGCACATAGGCCGTTTCAGAGGGCGGCCATTTTGTTCTGCAGCTGAAGACCTAGATTCCAGGAGCACCTTAGGAACCCACAGGATTTTCAGGGCTTTTGTCAGCTGTGTCATGTGCCTGACGAAAGGCGCTTTGGCGCTCAGAAGCTTATACCCTGAAAAACGTGTCGTTCTCTATCTAGCACTACATAGAGGCCTTCACTCATTTGGGACTTATCTTGTCTCAGCTGTGGCTGGACTTCTCCGCTCAGCGAGAAATCTCTCTCTGGCTCTCCGCAATCTCTCATCCTCAGGGGTGACAGCCATTTCCAGAAATGTCTCTCGGGATAAAAAGGACGTTAGCCAGTGCTGAAAAGATGTATTCAGGCACTCCATTTTGAGAAAGCTTTTTAGCGCTCTGTGTATACGTTTAAAGTCGCTCCGTGGCAGAAAAACGAATCCAGATTTTATTTTTCAGTAATTGGGGACACTTGAGGGGTGAGACGTGGCTCGTCCGAGTTTTGTTTGAAGAATGTCGCACCGAAAGGGAGGAACGCAGCCATATGATCCCGTTTATTCATTTGAGTAAAACGCCCTCGCTGGTGTTCATTGACTGAGGGAAATTTTCCTCGGCTTAGGGAAGACTTCTTAGGATAGGGGTAAGGGAAAGGTAAAGGTTCCCTTGCTCAAAAGCCGGTCGAGTCTGACTCTAGGGTTGCGGTGCTCATCTCCGTTTCAAAGCCGAAGAGCCAGCGCTGTCCGAAGACGTGTGGCCGGCATGACTAAACACCATAGGGGAAGGGCCCCCAAATATGTTATTCATTTTTAAAAGGGACATTTCCCAAGAAGCAGGTATTAGCCCAGTCTTCGAGGGTCACCGCTCATTATTTGTGCCCCAGAGAGCACTATGGTCTGGAGCCCAACAACTATCCCGGGCCCCGAGGAGGCGAGACATGCCGTTACCAGGGCCAGGGCATTTTCAGTGGCGGCTCCTTACTGGTGGAAAGAGCTCCCAGACGAGATCAGGGCCTCGCGGGACCTCTCACAGTTCCGCAGGGCCTGCAAGACGGAGCTCTTCCACCAGGCTTTCAAATAGGAGCCGCCACCACAGTTACCATCGATCTGGAATATCCGACTGGCCCGCTCTGAGCCTCACCGCGAACACATCTGGACCGTGGGACTGATTTTAAGACCCAAAGAGACGCCCAAAAGACAGAAGGAAGGCAGACACAAGCCATTAATCTTAAGGTTCCTCTGATGTAGCGAGCATTTTATTGTTAATATTGTTTTTAAGGGATTTTAATATTTTTATTGTTTATTGGCTGTCTTCTGTAAGCCGCCCAGAGCCTGTTTACAGGGTGGGGTATAAATGTTAATATAAATAAATAAATAAATAAATAAACTATGTGACACAGATAATTGGTGACAGGATCCCTTGACATTTTAATATTTCCTGTGAAGCAACGGGCGGGGACTCTGGATTTAATTGGAGAAGCAGTGCTGGAAGGGAAATTCAAAACACCCCCTCCCCAAAAGCTTCTATCAACCTGTGAGGTTTGATTCCCCCCCCCCAATCTATTACCATTTTTGCCAGAGGGGAGGATTTAAATTGAGGGAAATGGCAGTGGAGGAGAAAGTGTCTTGGCTTACAAACGTGATTCGCTGGCATGGCTTTCACATAATGCCAAACCGTAGTTTGTCAGTACAGGAATGAATCATGGGAAACAACTGTTGGCTCTAACACACACACCCTCTCCCTCCGAACAAGGCTTGGAAATGAAACACTTCCGCCTTTGCAGCAAGCCAGGGTTGGCTGTTAAGTCCATAGTGCAAACTGTGGCTCGTTCTCTGCCTTCCAAATGAGGATTCCAAACCACAGTTGAATCCTGGTTTGGAGAGCAGGGAAAAAACAGAGGTTTGTAGTTCGGATGTAATAACATACAGTGGCTTGCTGAAAAATGTGTCATGCATGGAGAGTGGGCAGAGCACCCAGTCATTTTTGTTGGGTATTACAAGTTGAAAACACTCAGTATTTCTGGGGTTAAAAGTTTGTTTCTGTTACTCACAGGAAGTCATATGTTTCTCGTGTAACCAATGTTCTTTAGCTGTAAGAAGCCCGGGAATTTTCTCCCTGATCTGGGAGTTTGATTGGGACGAAAGTGTCAAAGTGTTTTAGCATTTGATGGCTCCTCTTCCCGTCTTTGTTTGCTGTTCTCAAAAAGAAGAAGAAGAAGAGAAGCTATAACGCTCTTCTAGGTTTTGTCTTTGTAGTGTAAGGATGTAGCCGATTTAGCTCTGTTGTTATTTTCATCCCAGTCACCCTTCCCCATGCTAGAATTTAGTAAAAACTTTATATTTTAATCACACACGGACTTTCAGTCTGAATTATTTTACTCAGGCTCTGCTGGGCTATATTATCTCTGCTAAATACCATTTTTTTCAATATCTCACTATCACCCAACAATTTTCCTAATGTGTGAATCGAGGTGATTATTAGATCCAGGGTTACCTGGTGAGCTGTGACCATTTTAAAGCCCTATCTCTTTGCGTTGTCATCTGCTATTCCACGTTGTCTCAGGCCGAAGGAAAAAGGAAGGAAGAACATCAGTTTGCTCCCCTACAGTTGCCGTAAGTCTGCAAGGAAATTTTTATTCCAGAAAATAATTTATGGTTGTACTCAAGCCGCAGAAAGAGGCACGAAAGTTGCAGTGTGCTTCCCGATGCAGGCCGGACCCAGCGTGGCACAGCAGACAGCAACAGGGAGAGATTTTCATTATGCCCGTGGCGAGAAACCAGAAGAGCGAAAATCTATAAGCGCGACACCTTTTTCACACCCGGCAGCCCCGCGATTAACAAGTAATTAAAAATGTGGAATTCACCGCCACAGGCGGTAGTGACGGTCACTCGTTTAATTGGCTTTCAAAGAGGATTAGACAGATTCACGATCCGTGCAGGGCTACTGCCGTGTACTTGAAGCTCTGTGAGCTCTGCGTTTTTGCCTGCGGTTAAAGTTGAGTTCCCTAGGCTGGAATGATCATAAACCCTGCCATATACCCATAGGGTAAAATCCCCAAGCCTAAGGGTGAACATCTACTTTTAGCAAGGCTCCTAAGAGTCTTTGTTTGATCTGTGCAAAGGCTGAACTTTCGGTAAGGGAGGATGAGTCGTCAATACCGATCCCCACTGAATTGATTTTCTTTTCTGTGTGGTTTAACCCCATTGAAGACCGAGACTCCGTCAGCATGTGAAAAATAAGGCTTGAACGTGGTTTTTTTGCACTGTACTTATTATCTTTTGCAAGTAGATAAATAGGTACCACTTTGGTGGGAAGGGAACAGCGTTCCGTGCGCCTTGGTGTTTAGTCATGCCGGCCACATGACCACGGAAACGTCTTCGGACAGCGCTGGCTCTTCTCGGCGTTGAAACGGAGATGAGCACCGCAACCCTAGAGTCGGATTCGACTGGCTTTCGAGCAAGGGAACCTTTACCTTTTTACTTATTATCTTGCTATATGTTCCACCCTGATTGATCCCTTGTCGAGAGAGCGTGCAGGGAAATCTGATGAATGCAAAATTATTTTTTTTATTATCTACTCGGAACCAAATTGTGATCGAAACTGGGGCCAAATTTGTGTACCTTGCAGCTGGGAAGTGAGCAATGGATCAGCAGACCAGGCCTTGACGGTTCAGACTGTTTTCTCCCTGTTATAATTCGGTTGTTATGCCAATAAAGGTTGTTTGTTTGTTTATAAACCACTGAGTTAAAAGGATTTTGGGCAAGAGTGCTTTAGGAACTGTCCCTGCCTGAGATCTGCAGGAGCTCCCATTAATGTCCAGAAGAGCCCGGCCAGGTTTGCTTTAGAAGGGAGCTCCGGCATATGGAAAACATCTGCTTCGCCACTCAACTATGGCTATTCGTACTCGGAGCTCACTGGTCCAGGCAGCGCTGCCTCAATATGGTCTCCTCCATCTGGCAGGCCCTCTCCAGGGTCAGCGAGAATCGCGACCCCGCTATCTGAGATCCTCGTGGGCTGGCGAAGATTTGTTCGGGATGATGGTCCAGAAAGATGAGACGGGAAATGCTGTCAACAGACTTTGGGCCAGAGGGTTTGGAATGAGACCACTTGGGTGGCCATTAGCAATCTCTCTCTCTCTCCTTCTCTCTTGCAAATGAATCCCAAGAATTTGGCAGCAGAAAGAGAGAAATTCCAAACGCGAATCGTGCGCGCAGATGCCGTTGCGCAGAGCCATGGAAACGGGTTTCGTTCCTGTAATGCACTTTGTGTCCCAAGCAGTCGCAGCGTCGAGCGTTTTTTTGGCAGAGGACGGGGGTTGAGTCAGATGTCACGGGCGCTGTACAGATGTGGGGACCGTTCCCAGGTCTCTCCAGACACGTGGGGAACAATATTGCGTGAACTAGCTAACCACGCCGCAGAAAGCACGATCGGACGGGCCCCCTTCCTCTGGCCTGCCGTTAGCAGTACATTTGCAACGTGTTTCTCGAATTGGGTGAAGGGAAATTGCCTTCAGGCAGGGCGGGAAGGGAAAGGTTACGAGCAGTGTTTCCTCTAAGCTGAGTGAGTGTGAGCTAGCTCACAGTTTTTTAGCTTCCATCTCGCACATTTTTGTCTTAGCACGGGAAGGATGGGGCTCCAGAGCAAACGAATTCATGCAGCAGCCAAATCGCTCGCTCACAACTTTAATGCCTGTAGCTCACAATGTAGAATTTTTGCTCACAAGACTCCGCAGCGTAGAGGGAACATTGGTTACGAGTGAGGTCTGCCAGTGACGGTTCTCCCTCAGCTCTTGGGAGACGTGTGGTTGACCCGTTCAGGCCATGGGAAAAGAACCTGAGTATGTGTGGCCACTGGGACCTTCCTGCGGGCCCCACCCATCTGTTTAGATTTTAGTTTGCTTAGATTTTGGATTGGGTGGCATTTCACATGTGAACCCCAGATGGTATATCCATTACTGCAAAGATCAAATTTTTCCCAGCGAAACTCCCTTTTGCTGTGGCTGAGAGACAGAGATCCCACCCAGAGGCATGGGGAAAGGCAGCGGTGTGTGTGTGTGTGTGGATAATACCCACTTTTGACTTTACCAGATTTACTTTTAACTCTTCTCCTGTCTCGTCCAGCCAGGATCCAGCATCCCTTTCCCGTTTCACCATCGCGGATCTGCTGCCGGACCTGCAGCACGTTATCTTCTGGATGTCTAACGCCATTGAAATCTTGTACTTTGTCCAGCAGAAATCCCCCGTCTACATCCAGAACATGGAAGAGGAGATAGACATCAAAGGTAAAAGACCAGCGCTGTATTCAGGCCCGCCTGCAGCATCCATTGGGCTGGTGGGACGTTGGTCCCAGGCAGGGCCCTGTAGCGTGCACCGCTTGGATATCACAGCTCAGGAAATGGAAGGTGCTGGCTTGGGAACGGGAAGTTGCGAGTGCAAATTCACCCCTCACATTTTTCCTTCCTTCCTTCCTTCCTTCCTTCCTTCCTTCCTTCCTTCCTTCCTTCCTTCCTTCCTTCCTTCCTTCCTTCCTTCCT